CATTGTTCTTTCTTTGTTTAGGAGTTATCGGTTAGCTATTGTGTATTGTTTGGTTTTTTGTATTGGCTCTTGTGAACCGGTACACGAGGACAGAACCCCTGATGAGCTTCCACTTGCTACAGTTTCATGAGAAAGGAGAACATCGTAAAGGGACTGCACATTACTCTTTAGGAGGTGCAAAGACTCTTTCAATGTATAGTTTTCTGGAGCTCCATCGAGATCGTGTTCAATCAAAGTCAGTGTTGCATAAGCATCCTGTAATCTAGGTTTTGCTATTTCGACGATTTCTTCTGTCCAAGTTGTTTCTTGGAAATTTATAAAAAGATTAACCACTCCTTTTAAATTCTGAAGGAAGAGTTGTATTCCTCGTTGATTTCGTTCCCTAAATATAGTATGCCTTGACATTTTTGCGTTGTAAAGTTACAACTTTGAAAATAAGATGGCGGCGCTCGACCCATACCTCTCTCCGCGATGAACGCAATGCATCATGGATCAAAAAAATTAGCACACAATCCCCAAAAATTTTTGATTACCATGGAAAAAGATTTATACTATCATGATACAAAAAAAATATGTACATATAAATTAAAAAGATTTTGAATTTGTTACGAAAAATTTGTATGTGGCAATGAAAAAAAAAATTATACTCTGTCATATGAAAAAATAATATCAATGATTATATTATCGCCTTCAAAGTAATGTTTTCTTGCATGATACACAAAAAATCAAATATTAATACAAACAAGAAAGCGACACAGATGCACTAAAACATGATAGTAGCATGAAAAAACAGTCCAGCCAATAGCATTTATTTAGAGTGTAATTTTGACCAGTATGGGCCTTCATAGAAAGCAGCGCCGTACAGGTATGTGGAAATCCCACATTTCTACCTCACTTTATTTTTTTCCTGCGATAATAGCCATGGATATTTTTACAGAGTGTAGTGTTCTCATGCACGATTGTTGAGTGTGTGTAACTCCTGATATCTAGTTTTGTCCCAGTACGGAGAAATCGCAATTTAAAAAGTACCACTTTTCGGCTTAGTCAAGTAGTGGCATATTTGACGTAACGACAGTGTATACATTTATCCAGATACTCTACCTTTGTGATCACACTTGGAAAGTTGATGTATTAAACTGTTGTATTCCAGAATATGTCTCGTATTGAATCATTTTTGACAGCGTGAGATCCTAATAAAGATTGCTCATTTTGTGTAGACAAATGATGTCAATTTCACTATTTGACCTACGTGCGGAAAATTGTTAAAAAATAAAAAACTTTTGAAATCTGAGGGAAACCACTTTTGTTCCGATGATAGGCAATAGTTTCCTTATCCACATGCAAAGTTTAAGGCAAGATTTATTTTTGAACCAATTTCGAGTGGTCGGAAATTACAGACACGCTCCCAATATCCTTGATCCATTAATACTACTTTTTCAGGAAAAAAAATATATAGAGATACATATATATATTCTGTATATATATAAAGCAATCGCTTAGGACCACCCAGCTCACGTGTCGATATCAACGTAGCCGAACTTACTCAAAATGCATTTTGACGATAGAGAGAGAACGGTTAATTTCAGCAAGGATAAAACTAGTATGGTGTGCAAAAGATATTTCGTGCCCCTTTTGAGAGAGATCTGAGGCCAAGTTTGAAGCTTAATTTCTCTACTAGTATCGTTATCTAGGGTAAAAACCGCACCGCGTTTCAATCAATCGTGTTTAGCCTGCTAGAGTTCCTACGATTTGAATGTGATTTTCAGTTGCCTCTTACCTATCGGTTGCCGCACGTGCCAAACGTGACCGACCGCACTCTGATTGGCTCTTTAACTTGTAATGTTAATTGCTAGAAGTCTGGCTTACAGGAAAATTTTTCTGTTCTTTCTTAAATTTTCTACATTACAATGCAACACACTTTGCTTATTTTTCTGTTAATTTAATTTGTAGTTTAAGCGGGAGGAGATGTTACGGTGTTAATGAACTAGGGTTTAATTAATGTTATAGTGTTCATGAATTAGGATTTAAATAATAGGAACCATCACTAGGTGTAAGATACATGACATGAGAGGTCCCAGAGAGTAAACATTTATAGCTAAGTTGCATGCATATTGAGGTTGTGACATATTGCGTAACTGTAGTTTAGGTAGTGATTATTAAAGTTCCGTCGGCCGTTTTAACCAAGGATTGGCGTCACTTTTCTGCAGTAAGACACAACAGACAAGGCCCAGGTTATTGTGAGACTTTGTAACATCAACATGCTCAGGTCTGAGCTTCTTGAGTCCAACATCCAGCGATCGCTCGTGACAGTCTTTTGCCTGCTTTAGGTCACCCAGCTACTGGTGGACAAGGCCCGGGTTATCGTAAGAATTTGCGCCATCAACATGCTCAGGTCCGAGCTTTTTCAGCATAATATCCAGCGATCGTTCGTGACAGTCCTTTTCCTGCTTTAGGTCACCCACCTGCCCGTGGATAAGGCCCAGGTTATTTTAAGACATTCTGATATCAACATGCTCAGGTCCAATCTTTTTCAGCCGATCACTCAGCGCTCGCTCATGAAAATCTTTTGCCTGCTTTAGGTCACCGAGCTGCCGGTGGACAAGGCCCAGGTTATCGTAAGAACTTGCGACATCAACACGCTCAGGTCCGAGCTTTTTCAGCTTAATATCCAGCGATCGCTCGTGACAGTCTTTTGCCTGCTTTAAGTCACCCAGCTGCTCGTGGACAATGCCCAAGTTATTGTGAGAATTTGCCACATGAACATGCTCAGGTCCAAGCTTATTCAGCCTAACATCCAGCGCTCGCTCGTGACATTCTTTTGCTTGCTTTAGGTCACCCAGCTACTGGTGGACAAGGCCCGGGTTATCGTAAGAATTTCGGCGCCATCAACATGCTCAGGTCCGAGCTTTTTCAGCATAATATCCAGCGATCGTTCGTGACAGTCCTTTTCCTGCTTTAGGTCACNGGCCCAGGTTATTTTAAGACATTCTGATATCAACATGCTCAGGTCCAATCTTTTTCAGCCGATCACTCAGCGCTCGCTCATGAAAATCTTTTGCCTGCTTTAGGTCACCGAGCTGCCGGTGGACAAGGCCCAGGTTATCGTAAGAACTTGCGACATCAACACGCTCAGGTCCGAGCTTTTTCAGCTTAATATCCAGCGATCGCTCGTGACAGTCTTTTGCCTGCTTTAAGTCACCCAGCTGCTCGTGGACAATGCCCAAGTTATTGTGAGAATTTGCCACATGAACATGCTCAGGTCCAAGCTTATTCAGCCTAACATCCAGCGCTCGCTCGTGACATTCTTTTGCTTGCTTTAGGTCACCTAGCTGCCAGTGGACAAGGCCCAGGTTATTATAAGACATTGCGATATCAACATGCTCAGGACCGAGCTTTTTCAGCCGAACATGTAGCGCTTGCTCGTGAAAATCTTTTGCCTGCTTTAGATCACCCAGCTGCCGGTGGACAAGGCCCAGGTTATCGTAAGAATTTGCGACATCAACATGCTCAGGTCCAAGCTTCTTCAGCTTAATATCCAGCGATCGCTCGTGACAGTCCTTTGCCTGCTTTAGGTCACCTAGCTGCTCATGGACAATGCCCAGGTTATTGTAAGACATTGCAATATCAACATGCTCAGGACCGAGTTTTTTCAGCCGAACATCCAGCGCTCGCTCGAGAAAATCTTTTGCCTGCTGTAGGTCACCCAGCTGCCGGTGGACAAGGCCCAGGTTATCATAAGAATTTGCGACATCAACATGCTCAGGTCCGAGCTTTTTCAGTTTAACATCCAGTGATCGCTCGTGACAGTCTTTTGCCTGCTTTAGGTTCCCCAGCTGCTCGTGGACAATACCCAAGTTATTGTGAGAATTTGCCACATGAACATGCTCAGGTCCAAGCTTCTTCAGCCTAACATCCAGCGCTCGCTCGTGACAGTCTTTTGCCTGCTTTAGGTCACTCAGCTGCCAGTGGACAAGGCCTAGGTTATTGTAAGACATTGCGATATCAACATGCTCAGGACCGAGCTTTTTCAGCCGAACATCCAGCGCTCGCTCGAGAAAATATTTTGCCTGCTTTAGATCACCCAGCTTCCGGTGGACAAGGCCTAGGTTATCGTAAGAATTAGCGACATTAACATGCTCAGGTCCGAGCTTTTTCAGCTTAACATCCAGTGATCGCTCGTGACAGTCCTTTGCCTGCTTTAGGTCACCCAGCTGCTCGTGGACAATGCCCAAGTTGTTGTAGGACTTTGCCACATCAACATGCTCAGGTCCAAGCTTCTTCAGCCTAACATCCAGCGCTCGCTCGTGACAGTCTTTCGCCTGCCTTAGGTCACCCAGCTGCCAGTGGACAAGGCCCAGGTTATTGAAAGACATTGCGATAGCAACATGCTCAGGTCCGAGCTTCTCCAGCCGAACATTCAGCGCTCGCTCGTGAAAGTCTTTCGCCTGCTTTAGGTCACCCATTTGCCGGTGGACAAGACCCAAGTGAGTATAAATATCTATTTTTCGTAATTCATCACTTGGGTTTCTTAACTTGACGATTGCCAGGACTGCTCTAAAGTAGGTTTCTGCAGCTGAATATTGAGAGTGCTCGCGGCACATAATTCCGAGGGTTGTAAAGACGTTAGAATAGTCCTGCAATGTAAATATATCAATTTGAGCAACTTGAGATAGTCCTTCTTCAGAAAACAAATGTTCGGCGACTGTAATCACTTTTACCAAATGAGGAACAATTTTTGTGCCAATGACTAGAGAATCTTGTTCCTTAAATCTGGAGAAGGATGAAGCAGCTCTTAGTAAGGATTTAACTTGCTTATCTTTTGCAGATTTCTTTATTACTGAGTTAACAACGTAATGGATGACTCGATGCACTCGAATGTAAACGCCACTCTCCTCTTCGTCAAACAACAACATTGGGCATCGACTTATCTTTACACCAATTTCATCTTCTCCGTCTAATTCCTTTTCAACTTCCATAATGTAGTCGACAACAATATCTTTTAGTATTGGTTGTGGCGCACAAAGAGTGAGAAAAGTGAACAAGTGATCTATAACTCTGTCGGAACTCATTGCCTTTTCCAAGGCGAGTGTTGTTACTGTGGTCATTGTTTTTGGGTAGCTTAGGTTTGTCTTGGCGAGAATGTTCTCAACTATATATTGCTGTCCTTTTTCAATTTTCTTCAGATAGTCAGTCCAGCCGAAGTTTGAAGCGATTTTACTTTCCCGAACTTGTCTTACATAAATGGCGGCGCTGGCCAGAGTAAGCGGCTGGTAGTCCAAACAGTGAGCAATTTCTTTTTCCATCTCGTCATCAATGACACCCGAAAGGAGCCTTAACAAGGAGCTGGCATCATCAGGAAGCATCCCTTTGCTTACTGAGATGTGCTGAATGGAGGAGCTTTCTAAAGGAATTGACTCGGTGTCTTGTGTTGTTATCAGCAACTGGCCCCCCATCCATTGTTGGTTTCCTGGACCTGGCAAATAATTATATACATGAGACAGACTAGTGACATTATCAACAACCAACAGCCACGACGTGTAAAGCCCAATTTTTGCGCTTATTTGGGCTTTGAGACTTGCAATTTTCTTATCTATACTCAGATCTTTGGAAGAATGAATGTTTGTAACTGCGTACTCAGGACATTTGCAGTGTCGAGCGAAAGAGATATACGATTCCAAAAGTGCTTCTGAACTTTCTGCAGTAAGCGTCATGACAAATGAAATTGCAGCGCTAGTTTCTTCGCTTTCACCAAAAAATCGCTTAGCTACTAGACGGGCCAGCTGAGATTTTCCACTTCCAGGGTTTCCTGATAAGTACAAGGTGCTTAAGCTGTCATTGTTGCCATCTCTGAGTTCTATGAGGTGTTGTGTGATTTTATCAACCTCTGATCTGCGAGGGAAGACGTCATGTGTAGGTTTAGGAGAGAGAATACAAAATGGTAAGACATCGGTTTGCAACTGTTCCTCTAGGGTCTGTCGTTGATTCTCTTTTTCTTCGAGTTTTGTTTCTTTTTCAACAAGTTTCTTGCCTTTTTCTTGAAGTTCCTTGTCTTTTTCTTGAAGTTCCTTGTTTTTTTCTCGAAGTTCCTTGTCTTTTTCGTCTAGTTTCGATCTTTTTTCATGAAGTTCCTTGTCTTTTTCTTGAATCTTTGTTTCCTTCTCTGTAACCTCTTGTTGAAGGCTGTCAACTTTCTTCAGAACATTTCTTAATTCTTCCGTTGGGAAACTTGTCTGAGTTTGGATTTCACGGATTTTTATAGTCGCAAGACCGAGTGCGTGAAATGCAGTATTCACCTTTGAGATCGCATTTTGAAAGTCTCCGCTGGAAAGGTGGCCTCGTGGCATATGCGCAAATTCTTCATTGCGAAATATCCTGAGGTCATCCACATTTGATTTTACAGTTGGACTGAGACCGCTGATGCAATTGGAATAAAGAATGGCATAAAACAGCATGGTACAATCCCATTCCGCTCTGTCCCCACTGGTCATAGTTGTCAAGAGATTGGCGTTTCTACTTCTGTTTCGTGGGGACTCACCGTTCCAAAAGTCCATTCCGTTTTTCGATTTATCATTCCACTCTCCCAGGGTTGCCTTGTAGCGATTGTCCCATTCTTGTTTGAAGATTGTTCGGAGGCCTTCAGTTAGCACATCGGTGACAATATAGCAGATCCTGTAGTAATTCAATTGCTCTGCAGTATATTCCATTATAGCGGCCATATCAAATCAGACCTTAAACAAAGGCAGTGTCACCATTAGCCAAGTCATTCAGTTGTAAAACTTTGTTAAAATTTTTTAGGGACTTAGAAATTTTCAACTTTGTTCAACATCTACTAAGGTTATTAGTTGAGTTGGACGCGGAGAAAGTTTGGGGACGCGGGTTTGACCGTAAAGTTGTCAAGTGTAATTTTCTTCGTTTGATAACCAAATCTCAAGAGCTGAACGTCGCCAACGGTCAAACGTGGAAGGCTGCCAAGAAAGAATTCAAATGATAGTTCGCCTCTGGAAATGAAGCGGGTTTCCCATGAAAACAATACGATTTTAACCTCAAAACTTGGTGGACAAACCTTCTTTGCTTCTCCCTCAAATGAAATTTTAGTATGTATTTGTTAACTGAGAAGTTTGTTCTCATTACATCCTCGGAGACCCAAGGGCTATGAGTCGATTTCAAGTTAGGGTAGAAGAGCCCCTGGGGACATTGTCTTACAAGACTAGTTCCAAACGGTCGCAGTCGTTCTGGCATCTGATTGGTGTTATTCTTCCTAGTCAGAGTGAAGTGTGCTTTAGAGTCCTTTCGTGTGTTTTAACACGAACATAAACAAGAAGCTGAGTTGCTCGCCATGTTTGTTTGGACCGTACGACAGAGATTTGTTCGAGGTGAAAAGTTTCAGTCTCAGCATACAATGTAGTAGAAATCGATCAGATTGTCCGCAAAAATCTCACCTGAAATTATACTGAATACTGTCGCAGGTATCACAAGAGAACGTGTTGAAATGTTTGCGAGGTTCGTATAAAACATAATGGTGGCAAGCTTTAATATGTCGCTTTAAACGTTAGACGAGATGTAAGCTTGATTCTCTCTAGATTTTTTGTATAATTCTCCGTAACTGAAACTTTGCCAATCTGGTGAAGTTATTTCGTCGCACGGGCCACGCAAGTATGTCGAGCAACTGGCACTTACGCAGCTTTCTGTGCGCGCCAAAATCTAATCTAATCTTCGCTTGAATAAAAAGAAAGCCTGAGCGTGGAAACTTTTGTTTATTAGATGTGAGTAGATGACGCTGTACTAAGCTGACATTTACAATAAAGCAAACCCGCACTTTCCATCCAATATTTCTTTGTCTTTGGTTTGTTTTCCCCAATGAAAGCAGCAACGATTCCCAATTATAACATAACCGAAGTAAAGCGCGCGCTCTGATTGGTCAAATTAGCGTCCCCCATTTGTCCATGGGTGTACGCTGCTGACGTGAGCAAATGCAAACACTATTTTTCCGCGCGCGCTTGTTTTTTTCTGGTCACGTAAGATTTGTTAAATAAAAGGGAACTCTTTAGCTACAATGTATCAATGTTATGTTATAAAACAAATGGTAAACACCACAGCGTACACTATTGAGTTATGGATGCACTTGGGAGGTTTGCTAAGCACTCAAGAAGCTAGAGTCGCTCTCGGCTATCGCCTCGAGCGACTCTTACGCTTCTTTCGTGCTTAGCAACCTCCCGCGTGCATCCATAACTCAATAGTGTACGCTGTGGTGTTTACCATTTGTTTTATAACATAACATTGATACATTGTAGCTAAAGAGTTCCCTTTTATTTAACAAATCTTACGTGACCAGAAAAAAACAAGCGCGCGCGGAAAAATAGTCTTTGCATTTGCTCACGTCAGCAGCGTACACCCATGGGCAAATGGGGGACGCTAAATTGACCAATCAGAGCGCGCGCTTTACTTTGGTTATGTTATAATTA